TACTTTCTCATTAAGACTGATTAGTTTATGTTAGCCATATCCATAATAAAAGAGAATGACAACAAGTATGCCTCAGTCCTGAATACGTTGGAGCCATAACAACAGAGAAACATGAGATTAACTTTTAGGAAAATTAGATACAGTGAGAAGGAAAGAAATTGAAAACCTTGATTATTTGGCCCGGTTCATTCTCATCTCTACTCTTCACATGCTTGGTTTTCAAGTTTATCTCACTTACGACGACTTTGCTGTTGTGCTTGATAATCTCAGTGATCTCTCCAACCTTACCTTTATCGTGGCCGGATATCACTTTTACTGTATCTCCCAATTTCACATGCATTTTGTGTAGCACCGGGAGGCTGTTTGGCTTACACTTCTTCCGTTCCCATCGCTTAAGCTGCAGAAGAAATGAAAATGAAGATTGCTTTTACACAGTAAAGTTCTTGTCATGGAAAATCTTCTCTTTGAGTTATACAAGAAGTTCATAACCTAACAACAGAAAAAGACCAGAAAAAGATCTAAGGTACCAACCTTGGCAACAATGGTAGCTGGACTTTGTATTGATTTGACCTGCAAAGTATCATTTGAAGACTGTCATCAATTAAACAAAAAAGCATCCTGTTGCAGTTTGACACGTGAAAAAGACAAGTCACGTAAAGCAGGATGATAAAAGAGGACCAATAAATAGTTGCATAGGGAGCATCAACCTTACGACAGCATGTCCATACTCTGAAGAGGAAATTCTGATATCGATATTAGGCATTTTATTCAACAACAACAACCCAGTAAAATTACACAAGTGGTGTACGAGGAGGGTAGAGTGTACGCAGACCTTCCCTACCCCGGGTGAGTAGAGAGGTTGTTTCCTAAAGACTCTCGGCTCAAGAAGACGAGAATAGACAATAGAATCCGTGACAACAACAGAAACAAGAAACATAATATTAGCATCGTAAGAGACAGAAGAAAAGCAATAACAATAACAAGAAATGATGCCACAATACTACGAAAAAATGGAAAAATAGGGTGGACACAACATAAACCACTTAACCACTAGCAGTCCAAGACAAAACACTATCAGACGAGCCCCACCCCCGGTACAAAGTGATATTAGGCATTTTATTCATCTTTCAAAATAAGAGTACAATGGATTTGAGGGAGGATCGAGGAGTACCTAACTCCCTGATAAGAACTGAGAGGTAGCTAAAGTTATCTTCGATACAAAAGATGAGTTGAATGCCATTGGCACTCGTATACATAGGGCAAAAACCATGAGATATTAGCTATTCAACTATGCCAAAATTCCTCTCATTATGATGCAAATTCTGGAGTATCAATTTTCCCACTGAATATGTTCCCGTCAACTACTCATTCAGATTTATTAAAATAATGATACTAGTTAGTAGTAATTAGTAAAGCAACTTTATCAGCATTTCTGGTACTGCGTATCAGCTCAAGTATCTACCAGCAACTTTCCGCATTTCAAGAGGCAAACCAGAAAGGTTGAAGAATGTTGCATCTTTCAGCAGAAGAAGTAAGTGACTATAGGAGAGTCAACACTATTTGAAGATGAAAGGAGAGAATTTATTGTAGGGCAATTAGATGTCTTTACATGTTAACAAATGCAGCTATATTGCTATCAACAAGCTACTTGTCCAGTTATGTTGAACAACAGAGAGATTAAAATCGGAACTTAAAGCATTCAGAGCCTCTAAAATGATCAAGAATTTGGCCAAACTTAGCACCCTAGAAGAGTAATTCCATATCTACAGCCTACAGGTAGAAATCCATTCTTCAACAGCACATTTTCCTCTTAATTAAGTCGATACAAGTAAGACCGAAGCAAAGACAGTTCATTTTGAAACTCGCAAACAAAAGCATTAAAACATATAGCACGAACCACATTAACAGATTAACCCCAAGATGTGGTATGGCAGCCGCACCACGTCAACTTAAACTTTATATTAATTGAGCAATTTAACATATGCACGCGCACACACATACTAATTCTGTACCCACTATCACATAGTAGTTACGAGTCCAGTGGTATTGCCCACCCACTGACTAACAATATTGGATCTAGATATGCACTAATCTCTTCCATAGCCTAGTTAGTGTTTTTTGGTACGACGGAAAATATTTCTACAAGGGAAATGTTTTCAAGTGTTTCCTATCCTTGAAATGACTAATGTAAACATGGGCGGAAGTCGTTCTTCTTTATACACACACACATATATATTAGATAATGGAGAAATCCGCTATTTCCAGCTTCAAATAATGCATTTGTTTCTTGACCTGTTTCCGCTTAAATATCAGATTTCATTTGCTAGTCAGGATTGAACCCACGATGTTCATGGTCAAACCAAATCTTTGATGATCATTTTCCTTCTATAAAAATTTCAACTCTCAACTGATCTCACACATTCTAATAAACAGCTGGACAATGTTATTAACTACTCATTAAAATCACCAAAACATAACCTTCATACACTATGCTAGACCGTGTAAAATAAATGTATGGCCGACCTTTATACCCATAACCCAATCACCAGAAAAATATTTCCTAAGAAAAATATTTTCATGCAAAACATCTTCCTCCACACCAAATGCACCTTAGTTTTAGAGTTTTTGCCCCCATAGGTCTCCTATCATCTACTTCCGCCTTCTCAATTTACGTGGCATTGTTTGACCAGGCAGTGGGCACAGAACTAAAGAAAGAAAGACATATTTTTAAAACTCGTGGTCTAAAATAAGTCATCGATGTTTGTGTAGCTATTACTCATCTCGTTAAAAGAAAAATAAAAATTTAAAATTAAATTATTTTTAGATATAGAAAGGTGTGTTATTTTTCAGACAAACTATAAAGGAAAGTGCACCATATAAATTGGTACTTCATTTTTTCTTTCCCCTCAGCCATTGAGCGCTTGGGAGGGAGGGGGGAGGGTGTTTACCAATTGCAAGAATATGGTGGTCATAAATTATTGTTATGTTGTTTCTTTACTGGGTCAGTCGGGATAATTCCAGCAAAATAACATGTACCAGGTCTTATGAGAATTAAGCAACCATTAACACAAATGTACACAGCAGATTACTTGACGAACCTAATGAGAAATCAAAAGTTAAAAGAAATATTTAATAGGAGCCTATATCAATGGACAACAGTAAGTAAAAAAATGAAGGAATTGTAAAAGAGTAGTAAATAAAGCATAGTACCAGAGGAGGGCAGAGAGTAGGAGAAAAAGGTTGGCCAAAGAATGAGTTGGAGGAGATCGAAAGAGATGTAAACGAGCTCTGCAGAGCTGCCATTTGCTTCACAGAAGAAAGCTTTCACAATAGACAATAGAGGGGAAGACGATAGAGTTGGAAGCAGCAGTTTTCTACAGTAATTTCTTTGTTTGGATCTGGAATCTGCCAATCCAATTTTATTGGACCTTGGACGGGTTGACCCGGCCCAAGTTTTAGCTTCCATGTTGCCAAAATAATTCAAGAAATTCTTTTTTCAATTTTTTTGCAAAATACAATGGCCGACCGACCAAAACTAATTTTATTCACTAGCCAAAATATATATGAAATATTTCATATTTAAATGTTAATTCATTGGGCATTTTGATACAATCAAATAGAAAGCCCCAATGTTGAAGATTTGTCTATCAATAATGAAAATTACAGTAAAAATAGCACAGTATAGCCAGTTTTCGGACTGGTCATTCAAAAATAGCCAGCGTTTACGAAATCAATGAAAAATAGCTAATATTTTGCTGCAACAAAGACCGGTCCAGCATAATATACTGGAGTTCAGTGCACTTGTGTATGAACTCCAACATATTATGTTTGACTGGTATACTTTGCTGACTCCAGTATAATATACTGGAGACTAGAGCACTAGTGCTCCAAACTTCAGTATATTATACTGGACAATTATACTTGCTGGAACTCCATCATATTATGCTGGAGTTCAAGCATACTTATCCTGGAACTCCAGTATAATATAGTGGCGTATTTTTCGGGTTTTGAACAATGTTTTCGCTCAGATTTATCTTTACATGAAAAGTGGCTAAATTTCGATTACTTTTGAAACTGGACTATTTTTGAATGACTAATTATAAATCTGGCTATTTTTTAATTTCTCCCAAAATTACATTAGTAGGAATGTAAGTGTCTCTCGATTAGATTTAAAAATATACACTTCTCTTTTTTTCTTTTTTCTTCTTTTTTGGAAGAGAATATTCCATATTACTCCTGTAGACAATAAATTACGTTGAGAAAATAAAATTAGGCCGAAAAATACCGCAAGAATCGTAGTATTTTATTTCAAATATTATGAGTGTACAATTTCTATGAATCATCTGATTCTACTTTTCAACAGTAAATAAATTCAAGGGCCTTTGAGCTTGATCTTGAATCTATATTTGTTGCCACGAACGATGATCTTGTTCTTGAGCTTGAGCTTGATTGCTTGAACTTGACCTTGATTTGTTCTTCGTTCTTGAGCTTGAACCTGATTTGTTATTCGTTCTTGAGCTTGAACTTAATTGCTTGAAGCTTGAAACTTGTAGAGAAATTTGCGGCGTTTGATCCACGAGTTCTCTCTTGCTTCTTGTTATAATTTCTAGTGTCTTTTTTGGGTTATGGAGACTCTATTTATAGTTGTGGAAGGGAGGAGTTGTGATAAGAACAAACTCTTTCCGACCAATCAAATTGAAGTGTGACATGGCCGCATCTGATTGGCCAGAACATGTCACTTGCACACGTGGCACGATTTTATTAGCCCTTTAATTTGATTTGGCATGTCTAGTCATTTTAACATGTGGCACGATCCCGTTGGCTCTTCCGTTTGACTTGTTGTGCCATGTCATATGACACGTGGCACCAAACTGGGCCTCTAGGAAGATGTCATCTTGGGCTTAATAAAGTGGGCTCATTACTTTAGCAGTTTAGCCCAATTAAACGGGTTAGCCCAATGGATTAATCCATATATATTGGACTCATATAATTAATTCAATTATATTAGCCCATAATATTTATTTGGACCAAAATATATTTATTTGAGATTAAATCCAAATTTCTAATGGATTTAAATATAATAAAATTTTAATTGCCTACAACTCCCTCCATATCATTTTATATGAACTAATCTTATGATATATGTTTTGCGCGTGTGCATTATCTCAATACGAAAGAATTTTAAAATATTATATTTGACTGATAAAATAAAAGTTAATTTTTCCTAAAATTATTAATCTTCATACAAGTTTTCAATCATCAGTCAATATATTCAACTAAAAAAATTATTTTAATTGTTAATCCAATCGCTTTGAATTCATAAGTTATCATGCTTCTTTTCAATTTCAGCAGTCACAAATAATCCTTCAAAACTTAATAATTCTTTTGATTTTGTTTGTTGAAAAGATATTCCCTTATTCTAACAGGATTAACAAATTGATAGAAAATAATAATTTTGTTTCAAGAATAAAATGCAATTTATTTATTTTTTAATTAATAATAAATATTATATGAATTATTTTCAACTGATCAGAAAAAGAATAAATTATTGTAACTCATTGTATAATCAAATTACATAAATTATACGAAGAAAAGGAGTTCTAAAAAAGAAAAAGAAAATAAACAATACTAAACCTAAAACATTTTAAATAAAAAAAGAAGCTCGTCAAGGACTCTTAAACAAAACAATTTACAACAAAAAGATCATTATATGATTTTTCATATCAAAGTCCTAAATATTAGGTTATTAATTAAATGATTGTCCCTAAATATTAGAAAAATAATTAATGACTATTCCTACATATTAGGAAATAACTAAAATTACTACTCTGTCCAATATAAAATATACTCTTAAAGGGGAGGTGCCCTGGTGATGGATGCTATAACGCATCATACTCAAGGGGAAGTGTCATGGTGCATGCTATTTGCTGATGACATAGTCCTAATCGACGAGACACGACGCGGCGTCAGCGAGAGGTTAGAGGTTTGGAGACATACCCTTGAGTCCAAAGGTTTCAGGTTGAGCAGGACGAAGACGGAATACCTTGAGTGCAAATTTGGGGCAGAGCTGACGAAAACGGGAGTGGAAGTGAGGCTTGATTCTCAAGTCATCCCTAAGAAGGGTAGTTTCAAGTACCTCAGGTCGTTTATTCAGGGGACCGGGGAGATCGACGAGGATGTCACACACCGTATAGGGGTGGGGTGGATGAAATGGAGGTTAGCGACGGGAGTTCTGTGTGACAAGAAAGTGCCACCGTTACTGAAAGGTAAATTTTATAGGGCATTGGTTAGGCCTGCTATGTTGTATAGGACCGAGTATTGGCCGGTGAAGATCTCACACATCCAGAGGATGAAAGTTGCAGAGATGAGGATGTTTAGGTGGATGTGCGGGCATACAAGGAAGGATAAGATTAGAAATGTAGATATTCGAGAGAAGGTGGGTGTGGCCCCCATGGAGGACAAGATGCGGGAAGCAAGACTCAGATGGTTCGGGCACATTCAGAGGAGGAACACTGATGCACCGGTGAGAAGGTGTGAGCGACTGCTGTGGTGGGTACGAGGAGAGGTAGAGGGAGACCTAAGAAGTATTGGGGAGAGGTGATCAGGCAGGATATGGCGCGACTTAGGGTTACTGAGGACATGACCCTAAACAGGGAATTATGGAGATCGAGCATTAAGGTTGTAGGTTAGGGGAAATTGTGATTTCTTTTTTTTACAGCGCACTAGAGTGAGACTAGCCAGTTAGGAATTAGTCTTAGGATGCTATTGATCAGCTACTGATGATGGGCTTTATCTGCTGTTTATTAGTATACCGTACATCTTTCTCGTATTTCCTATATCTCTTATATTGCTGTTACTTTGTTATTTTATGGTATTTATATTATGTTATGGATTTTATGGTATTTTATGTTATTTTATTATGAGTCTATTGATAGTACTAATATAGCGTCTCTTGTTGCCTTCTTGAGCCGAGGGACTCCTGGAAACAACCTCTTTGCCCCTCGGGATAGAGGTAAGGTCTGCGTACATATTACCCTCCCCAGGCCCCACTTGTGGGATTACACTGGGTTGTTGTTGTTGTCTTAAAGGGTGAAAAAGGCGATCAACATTTCGATAAGGGCCTTTGTGCTTTTAATATAGTATAGATATAGATAGATATAGATATAGATATAGATAGATAGATATAGATTAACTTTTGGAACTCAGGTCTTAGATATAGTATGACTTTTGTGACTAAAAAATCATATCGCTGAGGGTAAAATGAGAAATTTAAACTTAAAGTATATCCAAATATAGTAATTTTCCAAATATGATACTTTCCAAGTATATTAACAAGTAGCAGTAGTTTAAGTCGTATAAAATTGCCCTTCTTCTGTCTATTTTATTTAGTTTATTGTCGAGGTCCTACCTCAACAATTTGGGACTGTCATAGCCCGTTTGGCCAAACTTCTAAAATTAGCTTATTTTGAAAAGTATTTTTTCAAAAGTACTTTTTTAAAAAAGTGCTTTTAGCGAGAAACAATTTGTGTTTGACTAATTAATTTGAAAAACACTTTTGAGCAATGATTAGTGTTTGACCAAGCTTTTGAAAAGTGCTTCTAAGTGTATTTTTCTCAAAAGTGCTTCTCAGAAAAATACTTTTGGAGAGAAACTACTTTTTTCTGCTTCTCCAAAACTGCTTCTGCTTCTTCTCAAAAGCACTTTTTTTTTCTTCCAAAAGCTTGGTTAAACACCTCAATTTTTTGCCAAACAGGCTATGAAACGTAATTATTTTTATTGTATTTTTGAAGTCCCTGTCTAGTCTCTCTCAACATTTTGTTTTTTCCTTGCTTTTAGTTGTATAGTTCCATTATCTGAAATTCCGCGAACAAGTCTGGATTAGTCAAGTCTCAAAGTGAGTTTCGAAATACCGAGTGGAAAACAAGAAATTAATCGCCATATAAAACATTTTAACCTATATTCCATACATCACAATGTATCTTACGCGTTTAAGTATATGAGGTCGCATCGTTTTACACTTAATAAGAGAAGTGGAGAAGGAAGTGAGGCTTAGCAAGTTTTATATGGCGACTAATTTCTTGTTTTCCACTCGGTATTTCGAAACTCTATACCGATAGCAAAGCCAAGTCGCCGTCTATAGGTGAAGGGACAAAGTCCATTATGGATTTTTCAGAAGTGTCATAGATCCACAATTCACTACTTATTAAACAAATATTCTCAATAAGTTTATCCATATATACTTAATATAGTTTTGGAGTATTTTTTTTTCCTTTTCATTTTTACAAATATTACAGCCCTTGCATTAATACAGATAGGGAGAGAGAACATAATGGAAATTGAAGAGAAATGAAAAAAGAAAAAAGAAAAAAAAAACTTTACACGATATACAGAGTTTAAATTTACAAAACAAAAGAGAGCAGGAGGGTAATTTGGATTAGTCCCAACTCCCAATATCACATCAAGAAAGGAGTGGGAGCAAATGCTGGACCCATTGCAGAAAAGCAAGCTATCCTGTAGAACAGGAAAAAAAAAACAATTAAACCATAAACCAATTACAACAACAACAAACTCAGTTTGATCCCAACGTGCGGGATCTGGGGAGGGTAGTCTGTACGCAAACCTTATCCCTACCTAAAGCAGGTAGAGAGGCTGTTTCCAATAGACCTAAACCATAAACTAATTATGAGACCAAAACACAAAAAAGTGACAAAAGAGGGTTGCTCAAGTAGTGAGCACCCTCGACCTTCAATTATGAGTTTATGGGTTTGGAAAGTAACCAAAAGGGGTTGCTCAAGCGGTAAACAGTAAACACCCTCCACCTTCAATTCTGAGGTTACGGGTTTGAGTCACAAGGAAGTAAAGTCAAAAACAAGGAGCTCCTGGGCAAAGGTAACAAAATAACACGAAGAAGCATGCAGAAATGTCTAGTGTCAATGTTGTAATTCAATATCCGAAATTCATTGGTGCGATTAATTTTCTTTCGTACCGAATGAACCCACCAAGGAACAATACATTCTTTATTATGATACTTTCTGTATTTTAATTTATATGAAGTAGTTTGACTTGACACAAAATTTAAGAGGAAATTTTTGAAACTTTTAAACATTTGAATAAACATTTTTATTAAGAATTTATACTAACTGAGTAATAATTTTACGTAGCTTTTACATATATAAAATTTCTTTAGGAAAATTTGATAAATCTAACAGGAATGGTATCTAATTTCACAATACTTGGACCTTGTAGCTTAAGCGCTGAGACGAAGGAAGTAGTTTTTATGACCAAGCGAACATGTATATTTATCCGTATAAACAGTAATTAATAAACAAATTTAAAAGAAAAAATATGCGTAAAAGGAAAACGAAAAGAAATTCTGAATCCGAATTTTCAAAGAGGAAGCAAGATTTAGCCAAATGGAAGCGAATTAGTTCAACAAAAAAAAAAGCGGGATCTTATTGTGTGTATATATATATATATATACACACATATATTTCAATATGATATTTAGTTGAATTCACATAGCCAAATAGAGGCGGATCCATTTTAAGCTTTATAGCTTTAACCATTGAGGTTCTTGCTTGAATTTATTGTATTTTTTAAATTATAGGTTTATATCTACATATTTGTGGACTTTTAAACAAATTTTTTCTTCGCATAAAAAAATACTGGAATGAGATGAACTTGATGTCGTAACGCTATTGATCTGTTATGCACACAGTGGCAGATCCACAGTATTGACTACGGGCAGTCGGGCACATTGCCCAGATCCTGTATATCTATATATATATATAATAAGATATTTCTAAAATCTCTATAAATATTCTGCGAATCCAATTATTATTGTAGGAACCCATAAATTTTAAATCATTATTGTGCCTCAGTTAATCCAATAATTTTTGCTTAGACTTCGTATTTGTATTAAGAAATTTATTAAATATGTATAAATACTTAATTGCGAACTAAGACGAACTATGAATTCTATGACGAATTCAGAACCCACAAACTTTAAATCCTGAGCCCGACTTTGTGTCTGGCCCCTTTAGTTTCATATTGCAAGATCAAAAGCTTTTTCTACATTACTAAACTCAATACATAAAATGAAACGAGGGAGTACCTGACTTTATCGCGATGATGATGACGAGAAGCAGTTGCGCTCTTCTTCAGATTCCTGTTGGAATTAACAGCCATTCTTGTAGGGAAAGCATCATGATCCTCTGATATAGACGAAAGAGACGGTTTCCAATCAGGAAATGAACCAGCAGATCTCGCTTTCACTCTTCTCCCTCTCTTCCTCCTTTTATACATAACAATATTATTATTATTATTATTATTATTATTATCAGACGATGCTTCAGCAGCTGCAGGTACAAGAGGTCCCATTTCCTCTGCTTCAACCTGTCGCACACGAGATGAATTACAGCCACAACACGCCACCAATTCAACAAAAAACTTCATATTTACCGGGTATGTAACGTATATATAGTCGCTTTTAGAAAAATAAAGATTGCACGAAAGGCGTTTGATAAAATGTCTGTGATAGAAGTGGTTTGATCTCTCTCTATCTATACATATAAACTATCGCGTTAAGAAAAATAAAGATTGTACGAAAGGTGTTTGATAAAATGGGTGATAGAAGTGGTTTGTTATTCTCTAGATATATAACTAATGTTAGGATAAGAGAGTCGCGTTTAGAAAAATAAATATTGTATGAAAGGTGTTTGATAAAATGTCTATGATAGAATTTTTTTTTTTCTATCTATGCATCTCTGTTTTTCTCCGACTCTCTACAGCTCTCTTTCTCTCTATCTCTTTCTGCCTATGCTGGATCTTGAAGCTCTTTGTTGTAGATTGGGGTAAGAGGTTTTGCGAGCAGTACGGACAGTGGAAACATTATTGTCCTTTATTGTTTTCGAGTTTGACGTTTTATCCATTCCCAAAAAGACTTATCCACCTATGGTGTAAATTTGTCTACAATCACAAAATTGAGGTGAGAATGTATATTAATTAATTATGATTTGGTGATAACTATGTATATGACCGGAATCAGCCCTTCGGTTACGAGTTCGATTGAATCCAATAGTTTTGGTCTAAACTTTTTATTTGTCTTAAGAAATTCATTGAATATGTACAAATTATTAATTTAGAACCTAATAATATAAAAAAATTAGAATCCTGTATGCATAAACTTTAAATCCGACTTCCACCTCTTATGAGTCCGGAACCAAAGTAACGCACAATTCGACTCGAGCAACAAAAATAGTGACAAAAAAAGGAAGAAGAGTACCAATAACGCATGCCCTTATGCGCTATAGGCCCTTATGCGATATGGGCTTGGACAACTCTAACGGACGTTACCTATAGTGCGTAAGGGGCATGCGTTATAGGTCGGGAAATTTTCATAAAGCACTATCTTTTAGTAGTAATTAGCCATCTATAGATACCATTTGCTATATTACGGATTATAGATACCTTTTCTGTGGTTATAAGATGTATTTGATATATTTATTTATTGTATTATGAATACAGTAGCAAAAATAGGCGTGAATCAAGGAAGTCCAGCTAATCAGTTGTTGTATTCGAGTGTATTCGACTGTATTCATGGAGTGAAACATGGGATTACAGCTGGACAAATTATTGTATTCGACTGTATTCACGGCGTGAAATAGGGGATTACACTGTTTTTAAAATGGAAAATGAATCAATTAACATAATAGACTCCTAATATAACTCAACAAACCCAATTATAACACACAAATTTTGTATTTTTTAGTTATAAAAAAGATTCTCAACCGAAAAATACCCCAAAAACGTAGCAATCTTCAGAGAAATTATATAATACATCTGAATACATAAATTATGTTAATTAAAAAAACATATGAATACATTCATGGTATATAGCGAGACAGTGAATACAATGAAATGCATAGAATACAGCGGGATACATTGAAATACAATGAGAAAAAAAGATAGTGAATACAATGAAATACATGGAATACAACGAGATATATTGAATTACAATGGGAAAAAAGACAATGAATACAATGAAATACATGAAAATACAGTGTGATATGTTGAAAATATATTGAAATATATTAATAGGAAATCAAGTTGCTCAACCCTAAAATCAGTCTTCTTTGTTCAAGAACAAACCCTAATTTCCGGCGAATCCACCGTCGAGCAAAAACCCTGAATCTCAAAGTTCCCACGCCGTCGTCGATCCGAGGCTTCATCTCCTTTGGATTTGTCCCCATGGCATTGGAGAGTTCAGTACCCGAAATCCCATAGAGTCCGATAAGGTACCCGAAAGTTGATTTGTGGGTCTGGATTTGGATGACGAGATTGAAAGTCCATTGACACTTAAAGACTTCAAACACACAAAACATGGATAAACAAACGAAACAAGTAAACTATTAAGATTGACACAGAATGAGCGGGATACATTCAGTACTCGAGTATTCGATGGAAGGAGGAGGAGAGCGGAAATTTTAATGGGATGGGGAAAGAGAATGAGATGTATCAAAGTAGAAAGAGAAAGAAAATAGTGTACCTGAATAGCGTATTTAGTGGCTTAGGGCTAAGAGGTAACCAAAATTAAATATTTTGCTATAAACCTTAAAAGGTATCTATAGAATATAATTTTTTTAAATGACATTTATTTAAAATAAATAAAGTGTTAACCTTTGCTATAGGAGGTAAAAATTTCTTATAGGTCTCACCTTTGTCTACAGTGGCCAAGCCACATGGTCTTAAGGGTGATCAACTCTCGTCGAAAAATTACATTGTGTATATAGGTAAAACATTACATTTTAGATGTATATAACACATATTGAACACCCTTTGCCGAGAATTTTTTAACTTTTTTAAAATTTGAATACCCTTGGAGAAATTTCTAGCTTCGCCACTATCTGTCTATCTATCATATCCATTAAATTGGTGTAAATATCGAATAGGAGTAAATTTTTTAAGGGAGAGACTTAAGAAAATAAATGAAGGTTAGTAACCAATAACTAGAGTTTGTCAAGTTATACTGATAATGAGATTAAAGCTTTTCTATTGAAATAATTCAAATTTCAGTGAGCGTGCCAAATATCTTGTCAATAGATAGAAATCAATTTTTTATTTTATCCATCGATCTTAGTATATTGTTAATACGTTTCCAAATTTCAAAAGCATGACTCACTCTTAGGAAAGACAATGTAAAACAATAATGTTAAATTTAAAATGTCACACGCAAGGCACGCTAATTTTTTTTTAACAAATAATAATATTATAACCTTTCTTCAATCATATATCAACTTGCCGGCTAAAATAAATAAATAAATAAACTAATCAATTGAATAAAGGGGCAAGATTCTAATTTGTGTGAGTTAGTGGATGTCCAGTATAATCACCAACCAATACGAAATAAACATGTCTAAATCTTTCATCTCCATAAATGGTTTATGCTTGGATTTTCAAAGACGTTTTAACCACCTATACAATATAAGTACATTAACAAACAACATCATTGGCACTTTGGCAGGTGGCAGCTAGATCACGAAATTGACTTGCTTACTATGAACAAGTCAAAGGAATTACAAGGCTGAATAAATAAATAGTACTTACTACTAAATTAGTTATTAATTTCGTGGTTTGCGGTTGCTACTTGAAAGAACTTACAAAAGTATTTGCAGGTTTGCATAGCTTAGACCATCTCCAACACAACGCTTTTATTGGACACCAAACACTATTTTGGTGTAAGATTTGGTGCTCCAATCCAACACCATTTTGGTGTGTGAATAGCGTTACACCAAACTATTGTTTGACCCAAAAATATAAATCTTGGTTCAAATAATTAATTTCAGTTAAAAAAAATTAATCTTAATTAAGAATAATATCCTCAAATCTTAATGTCAGAAAGAATAAGTGATGTGCGTTTATGAGAACAAATATCGCATTATTTGATAAATACCTTTTAATAATCAAGAATAGTGGTAGAATGTATAAATGATAACAGATGCCATTTAAGTAAATAAGAGGAGTAATTCAATCAATAAAGAGTGGAATAAATGAATCTTCCACCTAAAAATGATTGAAAAACAAATCCTTGTATAATCAAGGATCTCTTGGATTTGATGGTAAAGGACAGACGAGAATCTTAGTAAAAAGTAAGAATTTGTATTGAGTCAAGATTGATTTTTTTCAATAGAATTTGTATTGAGTCAAGATTGATTTTTTTCAAAGTGTTGTTCTTACAATTGAATCTCACGTGTCCCTATTTTGTGCCTTCTACGCGTACCCTTTTCAAGTCGGCTACACCCTTCCTCTCCTTCCGCTAGTGGAGGAATTCTATTGTTATTATGGTGTTTGCCCAGCCCAGCTCGCAACGTGCGTTTAGAAACTCATAAGGATGCTCACTAAATTTGTGGAGCTGGCGGGGATCGAACTCTCACTTCGGCATCTGATCCACATGTTCACCCCTAAGCTTTTATAGGGGGATAATGTTGAACCTTCGCCACTGAGGAGGTATATGCTTGGTGGTAAATACTGATGATAAAGCCAGTCGTCAATTTTGGTTTAAATTTTTCTTCATAAGAACCAAAGACGTGGTAGCCAGTGTTGATAGCTTTCCCGAGGCTTGGACCTACAATCGTGAGTACCTACTTCTCTTGTATGCATGTATATAACTTATGTTTGCTTGGTCATGGGTTTTGACCTCTCATCCTTTCCTCATGTAGCTAAGACCTCGCCCCCTCCTTTTGTCGAGGACATATCCGGCTGGGTCGGTCGACTCCTGACTTACATCGTCGGGATCCGTGAATGGTCCGACGTTTTGAAGAACTTTAGGCCTCATCCCCCTTCGGCTGGTGAGTCATCTGTCTTACCGATGTCTTAGTTATTTTCATCTTTTGGCTATCCTTGTATCTTTTATCTTATTCTTTGGTCCACATTTAGCTTCGAGGAAATTGAAATCCCCTGCGTCCGCGCATCAGAAGAGAAAAAACACTAAGTCTTTAGCTTCTGACCCCATTTTGACTGCGACAACCTCTGTTCATGACCTGATCCCTTCCTCTCCCTCAGATGCCTCTACTCATGCCCCCATTTCTCCTACTACTGCGTCTGGTCCTGTTCCTTCCTCGACCACGGGGACCTCGACCCCCTTCTTATACCGTCTCATAGATGAACATGACGAGATTGAACCTGGCGATGAAGACATGATGCCTCGCAAAATAAGGTTTGTAGATGCTGGTGAAGGGGTTGCCCGGGCTGTTGGCTTAATAAGGGGGTGACTTAACGCTCCGTGAGACGACGACCATTGTCATCGGAGACGACGTCGAGCATGTATTAGATACTCCAAGGTCGACGGAGGTCAACGTGGGTATGTCTCTTCCTTCTGCAATGACGGAGGCCGAAGGGTTGATTATTGGAGTCCTTGATACTTCTCAGCAAGAGGGATCATCGACTTCTCGACCAACTGATGATACTACTTTGCCAGCCGATGAGAGAGGCAAAGACGTTGCTGAGGAAAGTTATAATACGGGTTCAGACGTCGATGCGGCGAACTGAAGATGGTGTAGGAAGGATTTACCCAACTCGAGGTGAGGTTGGAGAGGTCTACAAGGACCATTGTGATTCCTATGGATCATGATTTGAGTGACGCTACTCTGTCGAGGAGTATTGTTGTCCTTTGCCTTAGAGTGAGTTTTCAGTGTCCTATTATTTTCTTCTTTTGTCTTTGTTTTTGTTTTTGACTCATTTCTTTCCTTCTTCTTGTCGCAAACTATGATTTTGGAGATCGAGAGCGCGGAGGGAGGAAAGGCATAGGGAATTTTTTGTAAGATTGAAAAACAAGTATTTTGAGTACCATCGCAAGTACCGGGAGTTTCATCGATGACTTGATGAGGGTGGCAACATGCAAGCCCTTCGAAGTGAGTTGAAGGAGAAAAATGATGAGTCGGTGAAGTCCATTGAAAAATGCAGCATCCTTGAAAGGACGTTGAGAAGTAAGGAAGAGGAGCTTAAGGTCAGTAAGGGCGTGAAGGCCCAATGCAGTGACCTTTAAGCACAAGTGGTCGA